TAATTTTATCTAATTTTCACAAGCATAATGACATCAAAGGAATTGGTAATTGGCCTGGAAAAAAATTAGAAACACTCAGTTGTTAAACAATTTCTTACAAAAAATGACTTTATAATGAGTTTTCATTTTATAATTTTTGTCGTATATAATTTTATCTAATTTTCACAAGCATAATGACGTCCTAAAGAATTGGTAATTGGCCTGAAGGGTTTTTTTAGAGATGATGATTCAACAAATACAGATGATGAAATTAGAGAGGTTACTGAAGATGGTGAAATTGAAGAGATCTTGAATGAACCTTTGCCTTGAAGGTGAATATGTCAATGACTCAACTCTTTACAAATGAAATTTTTTTAAAGGCATGTGTTTCTGATTTTTTTCAATTGGGGCTACAGTAGGGATGACAGAGAAAAGGTTGGAGTGAGAGAGATGAAAGAGAAAGGATTGAAAGGAATGAGAGAGGTGAGTAAGGGTTTGGGGGGTTTCTTTTTTTTTTTTTTAAGTTTTGAGAATAAAAATTATTAAAATACCCTTAACCTTAAAACTTAGAATCCATGATATATAAGGGTATTTTTGTCTACTAAAATCCGGTACACATTGCTAAAATGTACCAACTGAAAAACAGGCGTACGCGCAAACCCCTTTTTTATTTATCCCATTTTTACTTTATTTTTTATCTTTTTAAATTTTCGTTATATTACTTACCACATCTATATCTTTCTATTTCATTTTTTTCTACGAAATTCACCCAATTTGAAGATATAATCCATGTGATAGGTGAAAAGATGTTAAGATCTTCCGATTTAAGTGACAGACATTGTATCAATCTATAATAATGAAAACTGATTGAGAAAAATGATCTTCTCATTTTTTTTGGGTAATTAATTTTGTTTTTCACATATATCTGCAAATATATCAGTAAAAACTTTGCAAATGCAACCTTTTAACCAAATTCCTCCATTGAAAATTCATCTCTGGAGGATACTAGCTGCACAAATCGTACATGGAGCTGGCAAGGAAAACAAGTGACAACACAAAACCTGTTTTCCTTTCTGTTTAATATTTATAAATAAATTATTAGTTATATGAAATTTTTAAAAGACAGTAACGAAAATTAAAATTAAAATTAACATCAGAAACAGAACATTGCAACCGTACAATTTAAAAAAATAATAATTATGAAACATAAGTATAAGTAAAAGATAAATAAAAATGAAAGCTGCAAAGTGAAAACCCAAATTCCTGGCACTGTGTTTGTGTTTCTGACCCTTACAAATCTATCTCTCTGTGCTGCTTGAGTTACCTATATTTGCAGAACCACATAGGTACATAGGTACATGCGCCTTTGAATTTGAGGGTTTGTGTCCCTCTCTTTGGTCCCTTTAAAAAAAAAACACTGCTCCAATTTTTTTTTTTCAAACATTCATTGTTTCTCTCTCTAAAAACAAAGAAAGTACCCTTCTTCGGTTCTCTCTCTACAACCCCTCGTTCTTCACTTTGATTTTCCGTCTTCAATGCTAACCCAACCATGATCCTCTGCACGTAATCCCACCATACCTAACCTAAAACCCTTTTGATCTCTCTCTCTCACACCATGTCCCAAGGATCTCCCCTGCAAGACAACAAAGAACCCTCGCCGGAACCCGATTCGCACAAGGAGGAAGCAACCACCAACACCGCCGCTACTGCCGCCGCCGATGCTGCTCCTCCCGCACCCACCAGGAACCGCCCCTCTCGCGCCTGTACCATTCGCACGGCTGCACGCCTCTATTCGGCGTCGCAGCCGGCCAGGCCCAAGGCTGCAAAGAGGGAGCCTCGCCGCGAGGAGTCGCCCCAGCCGCCGTCGCCGCAGCCGCAGCAATGCGGCAAGATCGTGACGCCGCTGGTGGAACCGCCCCCGCCTGCACAGTTGCCGCGTTACAACCTCCGGTCTATGTGGGAATTGGCTTCAATACTCAATTTTTTGAATGTGAGCTTCGAGACTGTGATTTTTATTTTTTGCTTTTCATTGGGTTTGTTGTGCATTCTTTGTATTAAGTTTTTTTTTTTCTTTTTTTTTTTTTGTGGTTTTTGTTGCTGCTGCAGCTTTTTAGGCATCTTTTGAATATTTCAGTAGAATTCTCGGCTGAAGAGTTTGAGACGGCTTTGCTCACTCCCAATGACACATTGAGTGATATACATATGCCTTTGCTAAAGGTTGGTGCTTTTTTATTTTTTTTCTTCCTTTGGTTTATTCTTGTGTGCGTACTGCATTTCTTCTTTCTTCTGTGAAGTTCTAGACTATGTCGGTTGTGTTAGTTTTGTGCTTGTTATTATTGTTAGGAGTTTGTAGGATGTTGTTTTGGTGTGTTTTTTTTCTTAATTTGAGTAATATTGCGGTGGTTTTGATTATGATTGTATGCCTTAAATATGAAGTTGTATTTTCGTGATAATGTCTAGTGCCCATTACCCGGGAGCGAGGGAAATTAATAGCTGTAAAGTGGAGTTCTTATTAGTGTAGGGTATCTGGAGGTTGCTGTTGCTGAAACAGAGAAGAGTGTTTTGGGATTATAATTCAAATGGTAAAGGTCAGAACTTGTTTCAAAATTTTCTAAGAGTTTGAGTTGAATATCCAAATGATAAGCTTCAGTATTAGCCACTACTTGACTGTTCGAATGACTCTTTATTCAATGCGGTGGTTGAAACTCTTTTAAATGTGGGAATTGTGGAAGGAGCCAAAAACTGAAAACTAACGAATATAGCGTTTGTAAGTGCATTGCCTGTCTGATGGATTCATGGCCATAATATGTTTGACCTATGTGATGCATGGAGATGGACATGATTATTTGCAACTGAGTTGAGTTTGGCAGGAATTGGTTGGTGCAAAGCAAGTAATTGATTTGAGGCCTTTGTTGAATGTTGGGAAACCCTTTCTTGAGTGTTAAACTGGGGACTTTTGCTTATTGCTTGTGCTCTCTGCCCTGATATTGGCCCAAGTTGCTTTTGAAGGATAGTGTTCAAGTGTGCTGCTATTAAGTTTAGTTTACTTATTTCTTTTGTTTCTAAGTGTAAACTACTATGCTGCATCAAATGGTTACCACTTCCAAATGTACCTTTGGATTTTTTTTTCACTGGGCTTCATCCTTGTTGGTCTTATTTCTGATTTTCTGAGTTCAAATCAATATGTCAAAGATAATCATGATCATTCTTGCAAGAGGCGGATGTATACTTTACTGGACATTTTATATAGGCGGGCATCACTACAGAAATTACTATAGAAAAGGCCTACTCTGAAGAATTCTCAGATCTTCTGAGACGAGTTTTTATTATACCTAATTCTTATTGCAAAGTGTTTATACTTGAACTATAGCTTCCCTGCAGATTTAAATAATGTGGGAAATTATTCAGTTAATTGTTTGAGGGTTTAGATCTTTTAGATCTGTATTGAAACTCCCATTCTGCGATGAGAAAGTGTTGTTATAGACATGGTGCATGCTATACTCATCCATGATGTAATGAGTTTGTGGATGGAGATGAATTGATTAAAACAGTGTGCTTGGACTGTTTTGAAATTTAGTTTTTGGGTTGAGTAGATAACGACATAAATCTGTGCAAGTCTGACTTGTATGCTAGGTACTTAGGTTTTGAGTGATAAAGAGATAGTGGGGACTGGGGAGGATGAAAGCTTAGACTGTTTAATGTTATTGGTCACACACTTCCATATCTTGCAGAGGTAGTTGAAGTTTTGTACTTTAAGCTGCTGTAGTGCAACGAATGCTGTCACAAGTTAAATGCCATTATCTCCTTACTTCCATTTGTCCTTCATCTATTGAATCTATTGAATTTTGTCTTTAGTTCCATTTGTCCTTCATCTATTGAAGTGGTTAATCAAAACAGTGGTGATACTTGAACTCATTTAAGTTTTTAAAATTAGATTAGATATTATAATAAATAGCATTAATCTTGCTTAATCTCTTTTGTTGGTGGATAGATAGATATTGTTAAACGAGTGACAAAGTCAAGGGTTTTAATTCTAGTTGTCTTGCAGTTTAAGAGCTTGTGAGAGTTGTTTGCCATTGTCTTTTATAGGGCACTGATCCCTCTCAAAATCTATTCCTCTGCAAGATCAATACTCTCTTCTTTGTACAATGTCACAAGCTGTCAAAATTGCTGCTAGTCTTATAACATTTATTGTATCTTTTTTATAGGCAATTCCTCCCATTACACGAATGGCACTCTCACGTGATACTTGGATAACCGTATTATGCAGAAAATTAAGAGATTGGTGGCACTGGGTAACAAGACTATTTTTTCAGCAAGCTGAAAATTCTATATAACATTTTGTAGTTTCCAGAGCTAATATGAATAGGGAATTCAAATGCAGGTTGCGGATGGGGATCTTCCTATTGTTGCTTCACACGGGTAAGTTAATCTTGCAATATCTAAAATCCACTTTATATGTTTACCGAGTCTCATGTTATGTTGACGTGACAGAGCGGAGATTGAAGTATATAAATCACTTGATCCAGGGGTTCGTGTGGTCATCTTAAAAGCATTATGTGACATTCGTGTTGAGGTACCCTTGCCCAGTTAATGTCTATGTATATATCTATATTTCTTATATACTTTTCCTTGAATGGGTGAAAGTTAGTATGGAAGAATGAGGCCACTTTCCTTTATTTTAGGTTGGATCTCTAAAAACTATGCGATTCATGTTTAGAACTGAATTAACTTATACTATGATATATGCATGTGATTTGTCTGTCATTCACTATTTTTGTTTGCCTCGTTTTGTGTTCAAGTTGCAACCACCTATTCTAGGTTTAGTTTATCTATTTCTTATATTGAGTGGTTCTTTGGGCTTGTCTATTAACAAGGGTGTGATAATTTTCCTCAATAGTTTCTTTTAATAAAATTCACACAGATTCCTGGAGATGCATGGCCATGCACTATTTTAGTTGGCCAATTGCTATTGTGTCTAACTAGGACACCCTATTATGCAATAACTTTCTTTGGGGTTCTGTTATTTTGCCGGGGGAAGGGGGGAAGGTATTGGTTGGAGCAGTGCAAAAGGTATTTAAATTCCCAAGATCAAAACTTGCCAAGTGCACAGATTGAGGGGCAAATCATTTATAGCCTGACTCACAAATCTTACTTTTGATCATCCCTCTTGATAGTGTACATGATTAAACTTGACTTGTATTTTGCAGCAAGAAGATATCAGGAGTTACATTGACAGCTCAATCAAGCATGGCATTCCACTTTCAACATTTCGCAAGGAGCGTATTGGTGGTGATTCGCATGGAGTTTCTTATTGGTAATATTCATGTGCTTTGACTTCAATCTGTTCGAAGTTTGAAGTGTCATACTGGAAAGTTAATGCACATTTATCTCTGTTTTTTTCTTTTTATTCACATGGCATTTGATTAATGCAGGTATGAAGATGACCAAAATATTGGTCAGAGGTTGTATCGGGAGATAAGGAAAACTGAAGTGGTTCAAATGAAGAAAGGGAAACCAAGAGGTTCCCAGGTTTTTTCTAATACAACCTACCAGTGGGAAACAGTTGCTACCAATTTTGATGAATTTCTGGATGTTTCTGTAAGTTATTCAAACTCATCTATCTATGCTTAGTGGGCATGTTTTAACGAGTGTTCAGTGTTTTTCTGGGAATTGGGACTTTGGAGTTATAGGTTTTGAACTAGATAATGGATCACTTAATATATTAATCAGTAAATCAATGTGATGTATATATGGAGTCACAAACTGATACTAATTTTATTTTGATTTAGAAACCGTAACTAAAGTTCCAAGTGAACTTATCAAATAGGAAACTGTTATTTTGTAGAAAATTCAAAGTTAATTATAGTCCTTGAATGAAACCATTAGATTCACCAATTGTTGATAAAACCTAATAACTGTAAAGGAAAAAATCCACAGCGAAAGGGGTAGTAGGAAATCAGAGTGGACATGATATCCAGGAAAAATTGGCACCATTGAACAGTGAGTCCACTGGGATGACATGGATTCAAATTAGGCTCTAAATACCATGTAGAGAGAAATGGTATATATTTATCTTGTGATAGGATTGTGTGCAGTGGAACATATATACATGTCATACATAGCATTACATAGGGATGGGCCAAGCCCATATACACAATATATCTAACAATAACAAAATCAGAACATTGATTGTTACAATTCTACTATACATTACAACATTATTATACTTTTCAAATTTCATTCCTTGCCATTTCATATGACTACTACTAAAAAGGAACAATCTTTTCCGAAATATCAATAAGTGCTAGAAGGCAATCTCAGCCACTATATGCACGAAGAAAATATAATGCAACTAAGAACTTAAAGTGGTCAGAGGGTGCCTTATGCCACCATAAGTGTTAAGTGCCTTCTATTTATAATAAAAAGTAGTTGTTGGCCAGAATGAGGCCTTCATCAGTGTTGGAACCAGGGAGATCAAATTAGCCGCAGCAATTATCTAATGCAATCAGTTGTTTTCTCAATTGTCTTGTTCAAAATCCATTGATCCTTTGACTAATATCATTTTAAAGTTAAATTATAAACATTCTGATATAACAACTAAGCCTTTTGCCAGTAATTGGGATTGGCTACCCTACTTGAATCCTTTGGTTTACAATTCCCTCTATTGCTCTGTTTTTTTTTTTGACAGACCTAAGAATGCAGATATATTTTTGTTATAGAAGATAGGATTGACCGTTAGTTTTTTTTTTTCATTTTCAAAGGGAAACATTATAAAATAACCTAATTCTGCCAATTTTCGTGAAGTTTGCAACTTTTTTTAGTTGAGCTTCATCTTATTTGCTTTTACCATCTGATTGCCCAGGAGAAGCTTTTCACAAGTAAAAACAGAACGGAGGTTTCTGTAGGGAAGAAGGTGAAGATAGACATGCTTCCTGAAATTGAGAAGGTTCACAAGGTACTATATCTGTGTTTGCTTACTCTACCCTATCCTCCTCTCAGTGGGTTTAGAAAATTGAAAAAATGGGCACTTTGACTTGAATTCATGTTTGCTCTTAGTTTTATCTTCATATATGGTCCTTGAAGAACCCTATTGTACTTTTAACTGGCAAAATTAATCTGGCATGGTTGAGAAGATGTAGCATTCTAGGATTTGAACTTGAATTCATTTTTGCTCTTCTTTTTATCTTGATAAATGGTTCATAAAGAATCCTGTTGTACTTTTAACTGAGAAAATTGACCTGTCTTGTGCAGAGAAAGGAGAGATTGATGAAAAAACAACACAGACAAGCTCTTCTTCTTGATAATTTCTTAGGTGTTGATGGGCTTGCCCTAGGGCGTTCACTACGTGATAGGAAACCTGTTACCTACACTTTTGGTAAGAAGTTTCATCATTGTTTGCATTTTGTTTTCACAGCTGGACTTGGCCTCTTCATTTTCCTCATTTTTTTCTTTATATGGACTGCTGAGGTTTATTAGACAGCTCAATAATTTTACAGTTGGATTGCTGTGGGTATGTTAGGACCCTAGGTACCTTCTGGGTCAAGTAGCCTGAATCCGGGTTTTAAATAATGTGCTATAGCACTGCCACAGTAGCAGCAAGCGGCCTTTGCCTGCTGTAGGGACTGCTGTAGTGGCCATAGCGGACAAAATAGAAGGCTGAATCTATGTGATGATTCCAAAAAATCCTTCTGAATAGAGACGTTCGCTATTTAAAACATTGTTGGCCTTGAATATTGTGAAGGATATCTATTCTATTCTTCTTAGGGAATGTATGGTTAGTAGAATTAAAAAGCTTTCCCTGCTTGGACCAAGGGGGCTGGCTGCTGGTTATTAAGTACAGGGATAATTTATTGGGACTTTCTGATATCTGACATTGGTTTTGGGATTTCCGTTGGATCTGATGAAAGTTCCATTGGATTTTTGCATAGCTACTTGGCAAGCCTTTATATTTTTCATACATCCACATCTTTTAATTAAAAAAGTAACATTATCACTAAGCTTTGTTGCAATTTTACCCTGCATTGATGATAGCGGAATCTGGACATTGATAATTTCACAGTTTCATTGTGCATCCAGGATGTAACTTTACCTCAGCTTCCTGTTTAACTTTAATTATGACAAAAATTCTCCTGAACTACATAATTTTTGGTTTGGTTGGACAAAAGTAAACTCATTTCTTGAGTGTCAGTATTTGAGGCTTTAAATTGACCTAACTTGACATTGCTGTCATTGCAGATGATTATGATCGGTCCATCAACGAGGCAATTAAGATAACCAAGTATGGATTTTGCATTTTGATCTTACATTCTTGTACCTCTATTTGGCTGTTCTAGATATGTATGTAATTTTTGTTGTTGCATATATTGAGAGAACAGGAGCCAATCATATGCATTTGTCATGCTTTGTACTCATGACATGGTCTCTTTTTCTTTCTATATCAGACGGAAGCCACCGTCCCCAGAAGCTATACCGAGAAGAGAACCAGGATCAAAACCGGAAGCTTTATCCAATGGTAAATGGAGTGGTCCTTCCCCTTCTTATGACCCTCAAGAACTAAATTTTGGCATGCTGTCTCCAAAATCACCAGACTTCGATGATATGGAGGAAGATAATCAAACTGACATAATGGACTTGGATAGAAGGTTTGTGGTTTTGATTTTATCCCTTCAAATATGTTCTGATGACTTCTATATCTTACTTCACTGATAATTTTTATTTCACATCAGCAATCGACGAAGACAGAAGCCTAAACGGTATTCAGAGAAAGAGTTTGTTGAAGCATTGTCAGATAATGAGGCTGACTATGACAGTGATGATGATATTGTGGGAGAAGCAGTGTATTCTGAAGAGTATCTTCAGAAACGCAAGCAGAGAAGGAAGGCTTCTAGTAGCTCTGGCTCTGAAGGAGACGAAGAATATAATTGGAATGAAGATAACATCGAAGATGAAGAAGAGGACGATGAAGAAGATTCCATGAGTGTCAGTGAGGAGAGTGACAAGCCCCGTAAATTCAAGCGACTGGCGGGCCGAACTAGGAGGGAAACTAAACTAAGGTCTGTGGGTGAGATTCAATCAGGTCTAAGACGCAGTAAGAGGGCAACACAAAAACGTATAAATTACCGGCAGTTAGAGATGTCTGATTCAGAAACCGAGTTCGTTAAACCTGACAAGTCTAATGCAAATGCATCAGATGATCACTCAGATCCTTCTGAGAATGGAGATTATATGATGGAAAGTGAAGATTCAGATGGCAATGACGATGAAGAACAAGAAACCAAAGATGTGGAGCCTGTTACTTACCCTGCAGAAGGGAACAACCAATATCCTGCTGTAGAGGAGAATGAACAAAGCAAAATCCAGCCTCCTGAAAAATCTAGTAGTCCAGGACAGGAGGAAGTTGAAGGCACCACAAAGCGACGATTCCTTGATTTGAATGAGCTTGCCCCTAGCTCAGGTTTTGATGATGCTCCAAATACAACAAGCAAAGATGAAGGCAATGAAGATTTGTGAAGGTACCTCTTTCTTGAAAGCAATGATGGTAGTTTGCTATCAAGGAAACCAAGTGACATGTATGATAATAGAACTATAAATTTTGTTATGTGCCTCAAAGGGAAGTTAAGGGTAGATCTCTTCCTGTGGCAACCTAAGCAGCCCTTGGTGCATGATTTTCCACCAGAAGCAGCAGCATGATACTGAGTTGTGTAGATTAGGTAGTCATTTTTTAGTATTTAGTATTTCTACATCAAAGGGTCTACGGAAGTGAATGAGAATTTGTTGGGCGTTATTTGGCCCATCCAATCCAATCGGTGTACAATAACTGTTAACAAGTACTGTAACTTTAAATAGATATATGGCTTTTGATTATCAAGCCCTGTAGTTCTATTTTTTTTTCCTCATGGACTTATATTGATCAGCTTCTCAGCAAATAGGGTTAACTGTTTTTCTTTCTTCATCTGATCAGATAAAATTGGTCCCACTTTTGATTTCTCTACGTAATCACTAACCTTTTTGTGCTTAATTTGTCTGTTCTTGCATCCAAAATAGAAGTTTTGATTAGTTTGCCACATAATCTACTATTTTAAAAGCTGGCAATTAATTCAAACCATTAAGATTGATAGCGTGGAAAGAAGATTTTAGGACAAAATTAAGTTCATACTTTTTTTTATTTGAAATTTCAACTCTTTCCGTTTGAAGTTTTTAATTTTATGAAATAAAATACGGTATTCTTTGTAAACGTAAACAGGGAAAAACTGTGTAAAATTTTAAAAATATTACAGGGAGTTCTGTTCTGACTTGATTTGAGTCTAAGTTTTTTCTTCTATGTTTTTGTTCCTGTACCTCTTCCCACCCCTTTCCATTAGGATGGAATAAAGAATCAATATTTTAATATTTTCTATTTTTTGAAAAATATGATCCAAAATTAATTGAATTCAAATTTATATATAACATTACAAAAATATAGTATAAAACAATATAAAAGACTTATCACTGACATGATATGATAGAACAGTTGTAATTATTATAGTATAAAGTCTAACTTATAGTTATCCAAAAACAACTATAAATTTAAAACTTTATATACAAATTCGATAAACCAAAATATGTACAAAGCTAGTCTAAGTTAACTACACTGCAGGATCTTCTCCATCAAGCGCTTGTTCCACAAAGATCTCATCTCCCTCTGCTCACATCCACCGGATGATCATAGCCAAATAATATACATAGCCACATACAAAGACAAGCACAAATAGAAGGGTAAGTTAGATATAAAATATTCATACATTAGTATAACATATACCCATACTCAATTCATGCATATAGAATAACTAAATTCAAACATCCTAAAGTCATCTCGCTTAGCTACCTAGCTCGTTGAGCGAATAAAACTCTTAGTGGTACCAGACCCTAACCTCGCACTCAATGACACAACTTGCTAGGCGAATCTCCCAAACAGTGGTCCAGACCCCCAACTTACTCGCTCAACGACCCCATTCACTGGTCGAGACCTGAGACAGTAGTTCAGGCCCTTCAAACACTCGTTCAGCGACCTTATTCGCTGGTCGACTAAAACTCACAGTGCTCCCAAACCTCACCCTCTCGCTCGACGACCCAACTCGCTGAGCGAATACTAGAACAATGTGCCAGACTCTACCACCACTCGTTGAACGACTCTACTTGCTTAGCGAGTCTGCATAATTCTGCAGCACTAATCTGCAGAATTACCCAACCTACACCAAAAGTTACCAATTCCAAATATTTTCACTAACTTCTAATCCTCCTATATTGTGTTATAGTCTTAATTAGACTTCTACAAGTGTTTCTAAACCTTACTAACATCAATCTAAAGTGTTTCCTAACCACATTCCACTCCGAAATCTACAAAACTTCAACTTATGAACCCAATTTGCGTTCTACCACTTTTGTCACTATTTTGAGCAACTTAGGGACTCAAGCAAGTCCCGTTTAACTTACGAAAGCTATCCTAACACCAATTGAGCAACTAATCCCAAATTTATATTTTCACTACTCCACTTCCTCAAAACTAACCTTAAAACATGACAAAGTGCCTCTAATATTAAAAAACCAACCTTATTATAGATTTCACACATTTCATGCATTTAATTACAACCAAAACATCATTCTACACAATTTATCATCACAGTTCATCATTTCATACTCAAAACAATCAAATTGCACATTTTTCATCTACCCTAGAATCATGAATTCAACTCAACTAATTCAAGAATCCTACACTACCAAACATACAAAAGTAATTACTAATTATAGCAAATTCTAGCTTCCCTTACCTTAGTGTAATTATGCACAACTCTAAAAGAAACCTCGACTGCTGCTTGCACCATAAGGAAACTTTAGAAATACCTATGAATCACCGATTGGTGATAAAAAACAACCCTTAGAACCTAAATTGAGTCAGGAATTGAAGAAGAAGAACTCTTGATCCATGCAAACAAAACTCCTTTACAGGATTAAGAACCCTAAATACCAAAGAAAAGGGTTTACCATGTACCTACTCGATTCAACTAATTGATCAGTCAGATTAGTAGCCCTCGACGCAAGGATTGCCTAGACACTTCCTGATCGTTGAATAAATGAATGAGGAGTAAGAAATTGTAGAGAGAAATGAGAGAAAACAAAGAGGATAGTGTTTTAGAGAGATAGAAGGTATTTAGACAATAAGACGAATTTTAGAACATTCTATTTATATTATAATATTATTTTAAAATAAAATACTTGGTCTCATTATTTTAATACACCTATCAACTCTAATACTCTATTTTCTACATTCTTACCTTATACGTTATATTTTTTTAAAAGATGTATTGCAAAATTGATTCTTAGATTACTTTATATATAACAATTAAAAAATTATATTAGAGCATAAGCATTCCAAAATATTTAAAATTTATTGCGGAAAAGTTCAATAAACGCATAATAAACACTTGGACATTTTCCCTTACAAGTCCAAAAATATTTGTCAACCTCCCATTTTCAACTCTAATGTTTTTATTGAAAGGAGGGACGTGAGTTGAACGAGATCTAAATAACGTAAAATTTATTTTACAAGCTTCTGAAATCCTTAAGAATAAATTTTGATTAAAATGTTTAAGACTGAAGGAAAGTTTATTTATAAAATACTTTCCAAAATTCAAGTTAGTAAGAACCATAATAGTGAATAAATGAAGAGTTGAATGAATAGACGTGAATAATGAAAAATATATTCAATTTACGAAATAACGCTTGAATACCAATTTTCAGTTTTCGACATCTTATAATTGTTTTATTTGAATGAGTCTAAGCGTGTGTTCGCTTCTATCGATTTTACTATAGAAAGCGATTACCAAAGACAAAATTGAGTGTGACGTTGTGTTCGCTTTCGCCGATTTGCAATGATGGAATTGAGTGAATTTACGAGATAAGTGATTTTAGTATCACTCGCATATATGAGATGATTTGCAGTGATTGTAAAGCAAATGTCATGTTTACCCTTAGTAGATTTGATAATACCAGCAGAAGCAGTAGGGAAAAATAGGATATTTGATTCTTACATGTGATAATCGATTCCAGGCAGAGTTAATATATAATAATGCACGTTAATATGATACATTGCTTCCTACATCACGAATGTTACTGTGGCTGAAGATGGGTTGAAGAGGGGCAAGAAAAGCTTGAAGCAAGAAGAGCCGTTGAAGATGGAGAAGCAAAGGTTGAAGATGAAGTTCTATATTCGGTTCCAGACGCTGTATTCGGTTCCAGACACTGTATTCGGTTCCATTTCTCAGAACAAAAATAACGAATGCAGTGTATTCGGTTACGGGAGTGCGCATTCGGTTACGCTGCAAAGTTATAGGAATGTTGGGTGGTGTATTCAGTTCTTAGAAGGTTGTATTCGGTTCCAGGTTAGTGGTTGAGCGTGGTGTAGACCTGGATTCGGTTACGGGCTGCGTTATTGTGCTCCACCAGCTTGAAGGCGTGACAGAGTTTTTCAACCTCTTTGGACTGAAAATCTTTTTCGCGGTAAAAAAGAGTGCACCGTTCTCACAGCGTTGCATCAGCTTCTTCTCGCGCTCAAACTGCTGAGAGTGCAGCGCAATGCAGAGGTTCTTGAGAGAGAGCGCTGAGGTTCATGGAAATAAATGTGGACGTGTTCACAGAACGTGATAAGGAATTGAGGGAGAGAACGGAGAGCACTACGGTGCCGAAGATCTTTTGTGATGAAAAGGTGATAGGAAGGCTGGTGGAGCTCAACACACTATAGAAGGACGACAACAAGGAGTTGGAGAGACAATTGAAAGACGCAAAAGGAGAGGGGTCGGTGACTCCAATGTACGGTTTCAATGAAACGGCGGAGGAAGTAGTGAAGGAAGAAGCAGCCCGAGGAGACTTTGAAGGTAGTTAAGGTTTTAAGGCTGACGTTGCCAATTCAAGTGTTGAAAATGAAGATTGCAAGGAACTACTTTGTAGAGACTGAGTTGATGGAGTTTTTGGTTCGCAACCATGGCTACGCTCCTACCAAGGTATGTCAATTTGAGTTTTATTTTATTTTACTATTTTTTATTTATTAAATTTTGAGTTTAAATTGAATTAGGATAAAAATAAGAATGAATTAATTGGGACATCAATTTTATATATATATATATATATATATATATATATATATATATAAAAAGACATAAAAATTTATTTTTATATTTTAAAAATTAATTTTATTATAAATTTATTTTATTAAATTATAATTTTTTTAAATTTTAGAAATTAATCTTATTAATTATTTTTAATTTTTTACTTTTTATAAATATTTTTACAATTAAATATAACCTTAGCAATTATCATTTTATATTATTTTAATAACTAGGAGTATTTTGGTAATATTTAATTTCTACCAATTAAACTAATTTTTTAAATCTGTCACATCAATAAAATCCTACACTAATTCTCACAAATTTTACTTCTAAATCCATTCTCAATTATCCACAAATTCATTCAAAAGAACAACAAAAAATTATCCTCAAATATACTCAAATCCATTCAAATCATCTTTTCAAAATCATCTATTTCAAGTCACTTAAAAAAAAAAAACAAAGCATAAGTCTTTATAAGTAATCATGATTATGTTTTCAATACTCATATTCACTGAAAGACCTACTGATAGACCTACAGTGACATGCCTATGTGTATACGAGGGTATGTAAGTGAACCTTCTGATTTTGTTAAAACAGTTAATAAATATCCGAAAATATTTTATTTTGTCCTTTCTAATTTTTAATTTTATATATTTGAATATGTTAATAGTTATTCTATGATAAATTTGTATCTAGGATGACAACCGGTGAACATGAATGAATAATA